CATTAAATTCCAGTGAAATATATTTATGTTTGTGGTTGTAATGTGACAAAATATGGAAAAGTTCAAGGGGTATGAATACTTTTGCAAACCACTGTATAATAAAATATAACAATAAATTCAAGCAATGTGTTACAACGTGAACGTTTACATCAGACGACACCCTGACAGGGTGCGTGGTTAGTTCAGAAGACACACAAAGAGAGAGAGAGAACGTATTTTGAACTCTGCAACATAATAAAGGGGCAAGTGTTGTTCAGCAACTCTTGCTGCAGACATCAGCAGCTGGAATCAGAGCAGCTGAGTTTTTTTCCAGGCCTCTGTTATTCCGTACTGATTAATGTTCTCTGAAAGCACAAGTGAGTGCGGTAACAGAGCGTCTGTGTTGGTGACTTCTGAGAGGAACCGTTAACACGTTATGTGTTGTTCATCACTGCAGTGGTTGTGTGTTCTGAAAGAGCGTCTCAAACAGGAGTTAACAGCTAGGAAGGCAGGAGGAAAGTGAAAGCAGCATATATTCATGTATAATACAATCATTTTTGAGCTTTAAAAGCATAAAAAATTAAATCTAATGATGTTATGAGCCACCACTCATTTCTGACAGATTTCAGGATTTTTTAGCCTTTTGCAGTGCGCCCTCTGGTGGTAAAACATTATTTGTGGAGACACACTTGCTGCAGAGATGCAGCGTTTCCTGTTCCGTGTGTCACTGAAAAAACAATCCCCTCCCAGAGCAGAGCAGAAGCCTGCTGGTAAATTATAATGGATTTTTTATAACATGCAACTAAAGTCCAAGTCCTTTTTTTTTTTTTTGACATTGTCACATATAACAAGGAAAAGAAAACAAGTGTTTCCTCCTCTGACTCGGAGAATAAACAGTTACCGTTTACAGTGGTGTGAAAAGGTTTGGGTAGCCTTGTTAATTTTCCTGATTTACCTTTATAAATCACTGATTGTTTGGATAAAAAAAAAATCAGTAAAATATATCCTATAGGGGACAAACACAGTGATATTTGAGAAGTGAAATGAAGTTTATATGATTTACAGAAAGTGTTCAATAATTGGTTAAACAAAATTAGGCAGGTGCATAAATTTGGGCTCTGTTTTCATTTTATTGATTCAAAATCTTTAGAACTAATTAGTGGGACTCAAATTTGGTTTGGTAAGTTCAATGACCCTTGACCTCCATACACAGGTGACTCCAGTTATGAGAAAGGGTATTTAAGGGGGGCAATATTAAGTTTTTCTCCTCTTTGCATCTTCTCTGAAGAGTGGCAGCATGGGAGTCTGAAAACAACTTTCAAATGAGCTGAAAACAAAGATTGTTCACCATCATGGTTTAGGGAAAGGAAACAGAAAGCTATCTCAGAGATTTCAGCTTTCAGTCTCCACTGTGAGAAACAAACACTGTGAGAAAATGGAGGACCACAGGCACAGTTCAAGTCAAGGCTGGAAGTGGAAGACCAAGACAAATCTCCAATATCCAATAAACAGAAGTGAAGGATGTTGAGAAGAGTCAGAGTCAACCCACAGACCAGCACCAAAGACCTACAACATCATCTTGCTGCTGATGGAGTCACTGTGCATCGTTCAACTATTCAGCACACTATGGGAGAGTGATGCAGAGGAAGCATTTTCTCCGCCCACATCACAAACAGAGCTGCTTGAGGTATGCTAAAGCAC